AGAATGACTCGTCCAACTATATCGATTATGTTTTCCCGGAGCAGCTCAGCTGCGCATGTATCGCAGCTTCATGACACGATTCCCTAAGTTCGTTCAATTGCACACACTAAGGGGTAGAAAACCGGCTTTATTACAGCTCCAGGGTGCCGATGTCGGTATCGGGTTGTTCTCTTGATATGACCCGAAGGTGAGAAACATCGGACGCATAGGCCGGAGATAGGCCTATCCGGTTACCACATCCAGGACGGAGAAAAAAGACCGAAGAAAAAGCGGCTTACAATATACCCGATACCTGAAAGCGGCCTCATATGTTTACTCTATCTAACTGACACAATATTTTCTTATTAGTTCAAAACCTGCAGGAGCATATCAATGTTGACGGAGGCTGGTATTATCGGCGAATGGAGGAGGTTGGAGAGGCCGGGAGCGAAGCGCGAGCCGTTAGCCGGCAAAAGCGGGGCAGAGTTGGCTGCAGCCCGGGTGGGACCCTGTCGCTCTGCTAAGCTTGCTTCGCCGAACCGCCCAACTGTGACGTTTTTCTGGCAGTAAGAGCAAGCAACTGAATCGAGCAATGCCCTGGGGAAAAGGTGGGGGGGCCAAGCTCGGAGCTGGATTACCAAGCTTGCTGTTGCCAGGTAGAGCAAAAGCAACCTCAACAACTTGACATGACGGACGCTACTACTCAACTCCCTCTAGTATCTCTCACATGCACTCACTTGCTCATGTGACAGTACCTCAAGGTCAAACTAGGGCCTAAATCCGCCTCAGAGAACAGGGCGACAGAGAAAGAGAGGCAGTTTGATGCTTTTCAGCGTTTCCTTGCATTGTTCATGTTCATCTCTTCGTTCCTTCAACACCTAACATCAACTCGCAAAAAGTCTCGGCAAAAGCAAACCTTGAGAATTAAGTTGACGCGTGGGGAAAAGGGCTGAATGGCAACTACACCGGCTCCGAACGCAGCGTGTGTCCGACAAAGACCTTGAGGCATTTTGGCCGTTGACGATCAAACATGGCGGCGGCGGCAATAGAAGAACCGTCGAGTTTCCGCAACCGGCAACAGCATGTCGCATCTGAAGTTGACGCCGAGAGGACCGGGGCCTCTTCATTCCCCGATGCCACCGAGACGACGACACTACTCAACTCCGAGACGTCTTCTCGGACCCTCCGTAATGGATCGCCGGCCGGGAGCCGCCGAGATCGAGACTCGGACGACGACAACGACGATGATGGGCCCAAGCAGTCTATTAGCAAGACGCGTGCTGGCGTCCTGATGTTGAGTACCTGGATTCTCATCTTCCTCCAAGGTGTGTTGTATCTTCGATGTCTCGAATAGTATCGTGAAGTTAGTAGACTAAATCCCCTTGCACAGCATCAAACACATCCGGCATGACAATGACGCAGTCCGTCGTCGCCGAGGACCTCAACGCATACTCGCACGCAATGTGGTTCACCAGCTCCTACCTCATCAGCATGGCCTCTCTGGCGCCCCTCTTCGGGCGCCTGGCCACCATTTTCTCGCCCCGCATCCTCGTGCTCTGGCTGGGCGGCTTCTTCGGCCTCGGCGGTGTCGTTACCTCGCAAGCACCCTCCTTCTGGGTCTTTATCGCCGGCAGAATCTTGACGGGTATGGGAGGCGCGGGCATCATGACGCTGTCCGTCATTCTGGTCCTCGAGCTGGTGGGGAAGAAGAGCAGGGGCGTTTTCGTCGGGCTGGTGAATGCGGGCTTCACGATTGGGTTGTCGTTTGGCGCTGTGGTGTACGGCGCATTGTTGCCTGTTATTGGATGGGTTAGTTGACACTTTCCGTGTCCGTCTCTGGTGAGGAAAGGATTGTGGGCTAATATGATTTATACAGAGAGCTCTGTTTGGTGTCCAAACACCTCTGGGACTTCTTGCCGGCATTGGTGCTTTCTTGAGCATTCCGAATGGCTTCAGCTCCGACCACAAGACCAGAGGCAAGTCGGTCCTCCAGAAGCTGGCTCAAATCGACTACGCGGGTGCCTTTATGCTAGTGAGTAGCTTCTCTTTGCGGTTTTAACCGTTTCTCAAAATATCTTACCAGCAGCTAACAACCCCTCGCAGGTGCTAACGATTGTGCTTTTCCTATATGGCCTTTCGGGCGACATCAACCCTCTATCCCTACTCCTCTCAGCCGTTTCTCTCCTTCTCTTCGTCCTCATCGAATTCAAACTCGTCACGGACCCCATTATCCCAATCTCCGTCCTCTCCTCTAGAGGCGTCCTGCTCTCCTGCACAGCCCAGCTCCTCTTCATGTCAATCCGCTGGACCCTGCTCTATTACAGCCCCATCTTCGTCCTCGCCGTCCGTGGCTACGCCCCCGCCATCGCGGGCTCCATCCTCATCCCCACCAACATCGGCTTCGGCTCCGGCGGCCTCATCGTCGGCTGGCTGCACGTCCGCCGCAACGGCGCCTTCTGGTTGCCCTCCGTCATTAGCCTGACGTGCTTCGCGGCCACCATGTTCGGCCTCTCGCTCGTCGCCACCGAGACCTCACCGTTCGGCGTCTTTGTCCTGGCCGTCGTGCTCAACGGCCTCGCCACGGGCGCGACGCTCAACTACACCCTCGCGCACCTGCTACACCTCAGCCGCCCGGAGGAGCACTTCATCTCGACGTCGTTGCTGGGCACGTTCCGCGGGTTCGGCGGCAGTTTCGGGACCGCCATCGGCGGCGGCGTGTTTTACCGCCTCCTGCGCTCGGGTCTCGTCGCCAGCTTCACGGAGCTGGACGGCGGCGGGCGTCTTGCCGAAGGGCGGGAGGAGCTCATTACCAAGCTCATTGGGAGTCCCGCGCTCGTGTTTAACGGCGGGCTGAGTCCTGCCGAGCACGGGATCGCGGTGGAGCGCTACGCTGCTGCGTCGAGGGGCACGTGGCGGGCTGCGGCGGCGTTGGCGGTCGTTGCGATTCTGTGTCAGGCAAGTACGGGATGGAGGAGTCCTGTTGGCGGGAAGGAAGTCGACGATGAGACTGAGGCGAGGGCTACGGTGATGGAGAGCGAGGGCGTCGGGGAGGCGTAGTGGACGGAAATGAATGTCCTATCTTTGGAGGGTCCGGCTACAGCATATCGCATGGGGCGCAGGGTGAGTGATGTTTTGAGCGTTTGATGTTGCATTATACATGTAGGCACTGCCATGCCGCACGGCAAATTGGATATAATTGTTTACACCAAGATTTTTAGTGTTCTTCAACATGAAGTTGGCATGTATATAAGTCTGAAAATATGAAAGAGGCGAGATGTTTATACAGTAACACGAAGCATTATTCATTCACTCTCAATTCCGGTATCAGATATGACTCTCTGCGCCAGTGCCGTCTTGCTGACATTGGCGTCATTGGCAGTTTCGACTATGGCCTGCTTTGATGAGCCGTGTGAGAGCAAATTTGACACAAATCGAAGACATCAAGTCGGTCTTGCAAGTTTCACGCGTAAAATTTCACGCCAGATGAAGTACAACATCGGCTGATGGTGGTATAACGTACCCGGCCACAGGTAGTATCAGGCTGTCTACTTCTTTGGACGGTACGGATTTTTACCACCAGGAGGCACAACTTAAGATCGAGGGCATTCTAGCAAGGTAAGATAGAAGTTGACACATGTCACACTCATCCAGGTATCATCAGATTCTTTCGGGCCGCTGGATCAATGTGGAGTCTTTGCCCGTCGTTTGCAGACTTCAGACATCAGAGGCAGCATGGTGTGATTGTTTCACCTGGCCCAACGGGCTATATGTGCTGACCCGAGAACCGATTTGCTCGTCTCGGATCCGGGCCGTGATGCCTTCGACACACATAGTGTTGTGGGTGGTGCATGGCTTGAACGAGGAAGCGCTCCATATTAGGCGGTTACGTCTTCCCGATGAGCACGAAGGGACCCAGATCGCTGATCACTGCGGGGGGCCTGGCATGTTTGAACGCCCTGCTGCCAACGTGTGCGAGTATTGCACGGTTGTGTTGGGCTGGTTCCGCGTGTAAGTCGGACGACAACACGCCGTAACTCTTACGATTCCTCAGCCCCGATCGCAGGAGTCCAGGCCAAAGACCGGCATTAGTAATACGGAAGGCGAATATTGTCGATTTGTCGACAATGGACGATGATGGGTCTGAATGCCGACAGTTGAATAGGTATTAGATACTCGTCGTGCTGGAAGAGCTGTCCGTGTGTCGTTGCCGTGGCTTTCATCACGATGCTGCCAATAGAAGTGTCTCTCTCCTCCCGAAGTATCTTGATATCGTCCTGCAAATGGCGTCGCATAGGCTGACGTGATTTGATCTCAAGGTCGTGTCCGGGTAGCTTTCTGGCCTGCGATCTCGTGGCATCTCGATTCCGAACTGCTGAAGCTTTGTAATGCAGTTCATAAAAAGTTACGAAACCCGCATATCCGGGCCGGTTCTGTCCTTGGCGTCGGTAGTTGTCTGTCATAGAAATCGAAAACGACCAGATGGACTGATCTGCCTCGCTTCTTATGTTCTTTTCGTGCTGGGAGTCTTGGCCTACATATCTCGAGGGAGATGCTCCACCTTGGCACCGTATCTATGTTTCTCCACCAACGAAGCCCGTCGCCGATTGTGAACCTGGCGAAAGGTGATTCTGCACCAATGAAGTTGTCATAGTTTGCTGGCCGCGTTGGATCGCGATGTGCTTCCGATTGATTGCCAAGAGAGAAAAAAAGGGTCGAGGCTGACGAGAAGTTGACGAGTCGAAACTCTCGAGAACTGGATCTAAGCCTCAAAAACCTTGGCTCCGTGTCGGGAACTTAGAGATGCTCGTAAGAAGGCGACGACGGGGGCCTCTTGGTCTCACGCTAGCGGGAGCCGGAAGCCGATTCACTCATATCCACGAATTGTCATCGAGACGCGATATTGTAAGCCCACCTGGATGATGTGACTTTCGAGTTTCGAAGCGATGGAATCAATTTGAAGGAAACTTTGCGAATGAGTGAGATGAATGAGGGGGCCACAGGAGTTTGCCAGGTTCCACCTTTTAGGTCGTCTTGGACCTCTCGGAGTCGATACCTTTGCCAAACCGGCCAACGTGTGATTGTTGGACAGGCAGATAAGCTTGTGCTAAGGGTGTTTTTTTCTCCGAGCGCACATTGGCATCTGCAGCAGCGGCTATGCCGGTTGCAGTGTTTGTAGGACCGAAGACGCGGTAGACGGAGGATGGTTCTGGAGACTGGTCCATGATGCGGGGGCCGGTTTTGCGCCCCGGAACGGCTGTGGCTTCTCTCAGCTGAACCGTTCTTCTTAGATGGGTTTGTCTGGTCTGGTCTGGTCTAGTCTATGCGTACGGAGTACGCCAAGGGAATGAAGGGTTCCTGTCCGTCTTTAGCCGTCTACAGCAGGCTGGTGAGCTTCCAGAACCGCGCCCAACAACATCACAGCGGTGGTGACAGGAGGCGTAGTCAACGGCTGGCGATCCCGAGAACATCGTATCGACGACGGCGGGGCCCAATCAAATATTTGCCGATTGCGTTCCCACAATTTGCTTCCCCAGAAGGAGCGATCTCCGTCAGAGGCACAAGTCGTTCGTTCGAAGACAATGCTGAATAGAGACCGGAACAGGCCCGAGATGGGGTTTGTTTGACTCGTCACCATCACCAGCGTGACTTCTCCTCAGGGACCAGCAATTGTTTCATGAGTTGATGATCCATCAGGTGGTGGAGAATATCTAGGACGAAGTTATGAAAGGCGGTCTTGAAAAACCACTACTTCTCAAGAGAGAGACAGATTTGGTAAATTTGGCCGAAATGTTTAAAGTGTAACTTCCAAGTAATGCCAAGGCCATGTAAGTCGGGAGAGGTGAACTCTGCCGCTTTCAGGCTAAGGGATAAAGGCGCCATGAACGCTTGACATTTGTGCGGTAAGCAACATGGGCCGCGGAAGATCTCTCTTTCGCTCGGCTGCAACCACACATCGAGAAGGCATGTACGTTTGTCGTAAATGAGACCGATGGCTTGAAAAGAATAGTATAGTCTGGACGCCAATAGAGTTGAAGCCAAGATAGCGCTGTACCTATGCTCATGTACAGGTCGTGAGTGGTGAGCCAAGCTGGTCAAACATGATCATTGGCGGGTAGTCTGATGTACATCTGTTGTTTGAGGGTTGGCATGAGGTGATGCTCTTCTTTACCTGGTGTAATCCGTAGAGACAGAGACTTTGATGGTGAGAGGTGTGAGGGAGGTGTGTGTGGAATCCTTGAACCATGCACATAGGAGGTTTTCCTTCCCTCCCAGCGGCACACTAACGGTGCCAAGTCGCCCCGAATGGCGTGGACGGAGCATCCTATGATTGGCGGAGAATCTCTGACATTCAAATCCCGGAAATAGGGAAAATGCGGCAAATCTTTGCGGCGACAACCAGACAGCTCGGGGGGATCCCCCCTCCCCTTCCCCTTGCCAAACTCTCCCCAACTCTCCCCAGCCAGAGTTGCTCTTCAGGGGGAAGTACAACCACTGACAAGCAGTTACCTCGACTTGTCAGAGTCTCAAGGAACCCACAGGGGATGGCGCTCCCCCATGCTTTCCCCATTTACCCCACCATTTTGGTATGCACGAGTCGCCATTACAGGTCCCCAGGGCCAGGAGTTCTCGGGTCCCGCACGTCTCCAACTTCCTCTTCAACTCGCGTGCTTTTGCCAAATGTCTCTTCATCGTAGACGACCTTCAGGTACCTCGCAGCTTTCGAAAAGCAACGTAGCTTCCCTCTGACAAGGTCTCATGAGTTGAGGCGGCTCCCTCCTGTCCACACCCTCAGCAGCAGCAGCAGCAGCAACAACAATACCACCAACAGAGGGCAAGGGATCTATCCCCTAGTTAACTGCCAGATGCAGATACAGAGACATATCGAGCCTTACTTGTCTTGAAACAGGATCATCGCTGAACGGTGTTCTAGCCGGCCTGCAACTGCAACTGAATCTGATCGAGGGCCAGTCCAGCACTTCCAGCTCGGTCTCATTATCCCATCTAAACGCAGGCAGGGAGTGTGTACCTTAGCTTGCCTCGCCTCGCTTCAAGTCAGGAACATCGGCACAACCAAGACTTTGCTTCTTTCGTTCATCAACCACCGGGACTCAAGCTTTCCTTCCTGGGGCCCCGAGCATCCAGTCAGCAAAGAGCAAACGTCTGCCTTGGGACCAACACCCCTGGCAAGACTCCAGAGGCGTGCAGGAGCGTCTGAGAAACGGCAGCAAAGCCAAGCCGTAGCAGCAATAGCAGCAGCGGCGGCGGCACCACCACAACCACAACCACCAGCCAACGTCGAGCTCTCCTCCTCCTCATTCTCATCCTTCTTCCAGTCCCCGGCCCCAGCTCCTAGTATAGCCCCATCCCATGGTAGACTCCTAGTCCCAGTCCCAGTCCGTCTGCCCCATGCCAAGCTCTTCGGCTTGCCCCTCTGCCCCCTTCTGGCTCTTGTCAAGCAACTCGGTGGAACGCAGCGTCTGTGGTGGAACAATTCGTCTTCCCCAACTTCCATCAATCTTTCCGTCTCCTCCACCAACGACAAGCGGCGGATTGTCGATTGCGATTCAACTTCGCCGGCTTTGCCGTTCAAAGTCCACAACGAGTCTATTCACACTCTAGACCCCGTCATCCCAGCAATATCGCTCCTACCAATTGTCCCGGTCTGGTCAGGGATCTCCAACCTCTTGGTCTAGCCCAAACTTCCATACCATACCGTAAGGAACTCATACGGATGAAGGAGAACCTTGTTCATTTGTTCCTCTCACAACGTTGTTCTGCTCCGAAAGCTACCGCGCCGCCGCCTCGGCGCTTCCCTGTCGGCGAAATAATCCCTTCTCCACGCCAGACTACTGACCACCTTGCGGCCCTGTCCTTCCCGTGCCATCGGCCGGTTCGTCTCAAGTTCTCAACTCCTCTTATTGCAACAACATCCACACAGACGCCATCTTACCCGGTCAGGACAGCTTTCACGCCGCCCATCTGAATTGAGCTTCTCTCTCGTGTTTCTTGGCTGCGTGGTCACAAAACCTCCTCACGGTCCGACTCGCGCGCCACATGCGACTGGCCCTGCAACACCATCACCAGAGCTTCAATCGAGATTTCTGCCGCCTGCGGTTGGCACGCATCCCAAGCCCGCCTGCGCTTCAAGTAGACGAACCAGCCCACCCTTAGAATCGCGAGCTTTCAGTTCTGCATTAGGATACACCTAAAGCAACTCGCGAATTGGTGGAAGAAACTACCTGACCCTAGCAAACCGGTCCATAGGGCTCTCTTCTCGTCGTCATCGTCTAGTTGTAATCGCACGCGGACGGGGCTTCTCTTACTCTTATCAATCGCAACCTGCGGAGCGCATATCACGCCCCCGATTTCAAGGGCACGTCGTATGCACCAGCCTCACGACGACCCCCACCGGCTTGCTCTTCCCGGCTGCATATCTCTCTAACACCATCAGATCACCTGACGCACCTCGGCCCTGTCCTGTCTTCTCTATCACAGCACACCTTTCATCCCCCGCTGTGGCCCCCTCGAGTCTGCTTCCATTCGTCCCTCGAACTGTCATAATCTTACTTGGATCACCACTTCGTCTTGTCATGGGATTTTGGCTTGACATATCCGACCTCACTAACCACCGCCACCATACTTCCTTACGGTCAACCCAGTCGTTCTGAAGGAGGAGAAGGGGAGGGAGCGGCTTATCGTGGCTTTGTTTCGTATTCCCCACCTCAGTACACTGTCCCGGGAGTGACAGCTCGTTTCTCGCAGCTCGAAATTCCAGGCTCCTCAAGCGCTGCCATGGCATCAGTACATCAACTCGGCGTTGGTCCAACACCGGCACGCCCTCGAAGCATGGTTGGGTCGGGTAACCAAGACGTCGAGATGGATGTTGACCGCAACGCCAGCCCTGCTATCACCACGGGCACGAGGTTCGGGAGTGCTCCTCAAAGAGGAGACACAAGGATCGTCGTCATCTTGTACGGCACCGGCCAGGACAAGATTGTGTCCGTCTTCGCAGATGTTCTGGGGAAGCCATTCGTCACCCGCTCTGCATTTCAGGAAGTCGGCGTTGCTGACCAAGGGCTTGTGGTTGGCATTCCGGCAGAACTCGCTGCAAAGGACATTACCTCCCGCAACAAGGAGCTCGTCGTGGCGATCAACGCCCACTGTGTCAACCTTGGGATGCCACCAGATGTCTTCCTCTCAGCTCAGTGCGACTACGAGTTCCTCTACACCGAAGCACCATTCTTTCGTCGAGACTTGTCCAGATTCATCTCTTTCACTCTCGGCCAGATCTGCCACCACGAAACGTTGATGCAAAAACCACGAACGTACTTCATCTCTACTACGTTTCCAGACGTCAGTGCTGCGTTGCCGAATATCGACATCCTCACCGTCGGCGCCGACGCAGTGGAAATTCGTGTTGATCTTCTAAAGGAGCCACTCGGCGACGGCACATATTCAGCCATCCCGAGCCTTAGCTATGTAGGACAGCAGCTGATGCTCCTGCGCCAGCGGACAGAACTCCCAATAATTTTCACCACTAGGTGTACGAGGGAAAATGGTCGTTTCCCCATGGAGAACCCCGATATTTACTATGAATATCTTTACCGAGCAATTCAATGGGGAGTTGAGTATATCGACGTGGAACTCTGGCTTCCGGAAGCCATTCGAAAGAAACTTTGGGAACAGAGAGGAAGCAGTCGTATCATGTCTGCGTTTCACGACTTTTCTGGTACCTTCAAATGGCCATCGTCCCAAGCCGAGCAGGTGTACATTGAATCAAGCAAGTATGCCGATATCATCAAGATGATTGCCATCATCAACGACCACAACGAAAACTTCGAGTTGGAGTACTTCCGCTCGAAAATGCGAGCAGATTATCCGGATTCCCCGCCATTCTCTGGAGTTAACATGGGAGAAACTGGCCAGTTTTCACGTACTCTGAACAAGGTGTTCACCCCTATCACTCATCCCTTGTTGCCAATAGTCGCAGCCCCAGGTCAAATGAGCGCGTCGGAGATAAACGCGGCTTTGGCACTGCTTGGACAGCTTCCCAAGAAGAGCATATATGGCATCACAACACCGGCTTTCCGAAGTTCAACTCCGCAAGCACCATTCTATGAGAAGTGCTTCAATGAACTGGGCCTGCCGCATTACTTTGCCGTTGTAGAGCGCTTGCCAAACAACTTTTCAAGCATGGAGGCTTGGTGTAATCAAAAGAACTTTGGTGGTGCCTACCTCAGCCCGCCGGTGTCGTGGAGTAGCCTACTCAAGGCCAGCCCGTTCTTCGCTTCGCTCAACGGCGGCAAGGGCGCGGAGTTGACTGAGGCAGCTCGCCTGATTGGTACTGTGGACACAATCATAGTCAAGTCGGGTTCCTCGTCCTCGGCATCTTCTGCCCCAGCGTCGATTCCCTCGAGCCCTCGTCATGGGCACCATGACTCTTTCGGCCACTTGGGGTCACACATCTCCGGTCTGTCTCCGAATACATCATTGATCTTGGACAATGCTAGCTGGCGTGGTATCATCAGCACACTGACCAGAGATATGGCGCCTTCTGCCTACTTCGGCCGAACTGCTGTTGTGCTGGCTTCATCTGGAGAAGATGCTGCATCAGTTATGTACGCGCTGAAAGCACTCCGTATGGCAAAGATATATACCGTTGGCTTTCGAACACCGCCAGCTCTGGCCCGTGATGGACCTGTCATTGAGCCGTTCAACAGTCTGGAGAGCCTCAAGAAAGCTCAAACTGTGAGCGACGATGGTGCTCCCTTTTTATTTGTTTCGGCGCTCGGCGCAGATAAGAGCAACCTCGTCGGTATGCTGGTGCGTGTCTTTGGCGCCAATGTGCGAGGAAGCACAAACTTCAAGAAAGTCTTCCTCGATCTCGCCGACACCGCAGGTGCAAGAAAAGGCGGCGATCCAGGCCTCATTGCTCAGCAGGCGGGATTTTCGGCGTATGGAGTTGCTGATACGGCCGCCTTTACCACCGTCGAGACTCTGAGGCTGCTGGTCGGTCAGAATGTGCCCTACAGTTTTGTCAGACTGGCAAGCGGCAGGGGCATGTTCTGAGTCGTGTATAGAGGATCAGCATTTGGGCTTCGCCAGTCCTTCGAATGTCTAAGAGGCCGGCTTTATCTGTGTCTCCTTGGTCTGTTGGCCTGGAGGAGTTTCGAACTGGACCATAGCAATAGTTTGTATGTGCAAACACCGCAATCCTATGTCGACCACGGCCTATGCCGGGCCACAAGAAGCAATATGAACCTGCGGCCAAGCTCCAGATCCCAGGAAGCCAGGCCACAGGCCGAGGCCTGTGGAGTTCCCCACGATAGCCAAGACAAACCATCGGCTGTCACCCCCAGTGCGGAGAAAGGAGGGAGCGATCGAGCCAGGCCCGATGCTGCATTTCCATGTCGGCTCGGGACCTGGAAACTGGAGCTTGAGACCCCCAAAGCCATTTCCGATGTCAGGTCTCCGAGGAGCTGTGCAAAGCGGAAGTGTGGACGCGGAAATGGTGCAGAGAAGGGCCTTATTGAGCGGACGACTCATCGGGCAAGGAGATGGCCCATTGCATGAATGGCGTTTATTTGGAAGAGAAATGTGCGGGTCAGAAGAGAGATGAGATGGTTTGTAGGGGGGGCATTTACAAGATCTAGTTCTACATAAGGTAGCTCACGGGTAAGGACGAACATCAACAAGGCGTGTTTTCCGCTTTCGAAGGTGCCGCCTCTCCTTTGTTTCGTTTTCAGTTTAAAGCGTGGGATTATCGAGACACAGTCGTGTCTGTGACAATGTCATGTAGACAACGACCATTGGCAGTCCTCTAGAGAGGACTGTCACTTTTCTGCGTATGGACTAAATGCAATTCGTTACGGCCAAGACAAGAATTCTTCTCATGTGAAATTTTCTACTGAACACCCCTTTCGTTATCGCTCTTCGCAAGCCCGTTTCTGACGCTCCTCTACCTCTGATCTCAGAATGATCCAGGCCTTTGCCCCTACTTTGCAAAGATACGTCGACGGGATCGCGGCTACGGATGGGTACCTGGAGCGGCGGAAAACAAGAAGATCTACAGGGTCTATCAGGGTCTTCGTATTGTAGGGTATCCTGGGAGAAGGGAGAGAAAGGGGGGAGGACGATCGCCAAACGAGGAGGGCTCAAGGTTGTGCCAGTGTAATCTGATGACGATGGATATCCTACCCACCAACTTGCCATTGTATCAACGGGTCAAGTGTGGGCGAGAGCCATGCTGAGGTTGATGGCCAGCGGGTAAAGAAGCAGCCAGTCACCTGCGGATACGGCTCAATGTGTCCATGGTGATCCTCTCGCCATCCGGGCCTTCCCAAAGCCGTGACGTTACATTATGTGGAAAGCTGACATGGCTGGGTCATCGGCTCTGTGGTTTGTGTTTGGCAGACCGTAGTGAAGGTGACAAGCCCAGCTTGGGAAAATGGTAAGAGTTCCCGTCCCATCTCGGTCTAAGCAAAGGTTAAGGCAGTAGAAGCCCCGCGCACTCCACACGCCATGCTCACCCCGTCTCGGCGAAGTCGGACTATTCACGGCCACTGGGACCCGGCCACCAGCTGAAAAGGGTCAAGGCAGGAGAAGAAAGGCCGTTCCCCTCTCCTCGCCAGAGCTGGGATGGTGATGGGTGGTGGTGGTGTTGGTGACGTCTAGAGAAGGCAACGAGAAGGAAGCCTTCTCTCCCCTCCACCCCAATGGACCAGAGAACACCCTCGTCATGCAAGGGCGGGAAACGAAGACCGTGCCGTCCCCTGCGCTGGTCTGGGTGTGGCCGTCCCCAGTCGAGCCGATCGGGAACTGCGTTTTAACGAACAGGGCAAGGGCGAAAGAATATTGGATCGACGAATGGGACGCGGATATCACCGCGGTTGGGGCTGGCTCAGGCGAGAGGACGGCGCGCAGAAAATCTCGAGAGTGTGGGCGTGGCGTATCTCGATGACGGGCAGGGCAAAGGGACTTGCCGCATGCTCCGGGGGACTGAATCATATCACAAGTGTCCTGATATTGAAACCAGCACATAGCCTAGCTCAGTATCTCGGATGTGCTGGGGACGAAGAAAAGAAGTAGGCATTGTCTAGAGGGGTGTGAGTAGAATCTGAACTCCTTTTGCTTCAAAGTCCCTGCGGTGTTTGTATTTCTGAATTGCCTCCTCAGCCCTCGAAAGCAACCTATGCCTTATAACCCGAACATTTTGACGTGTCGCGACATCAGAGAGAAGGGCAAACCGAAGTGAACAAGCTGGTGGTGTAACAGACGCCGAGATCCATCCACGAACTGACACGATATAGCGCGCATGTACATGTCGGTCTGACTGCTGACCATGCCATCCCGTTGCAGGGGATTCATCGGTCGCTCTCGGCAAGGCCAGGTCTGCTATCGACGCGTCTGTAACTGTATGGTCATGGGCCGCTGCTGAATCACACATTGCTAGTCTCCCTCACAAACGTCCGCAAAGACCGTAAAGAGGCATACACAGTGATAGAATTGCGAATTCGTCTGGTAAGAAGGGCGTCAGCGGACTAATACCGGGTTGACGTTGACGGCCTAAACCCTGGGGACTCAAGTTTGGCCAGGCTTGACGCACTCGCTGGTGTCCCCTACACAACAAAGTGGCAGCCAGCCGTTGTTGGGGGTGGCTGACATGGCTGTTGTCGATGACTCGCTATTCGCTATATGTCATCGCGAGGCGTCGTCGTTGCACGGGACGTTAGCCCCCGTTTCTGCCCATAATGGGTCAAGACGAACGTCGCCCCGTCTCCTCCTCTGAGTAGCTCTCCAAACGCTTTTATTGCCATGTCCCAGTGGCGTGTCGGGCCGGCATTTCTTAATGGTCAGGTGTTGCAGAGCACACGTGTAGTAGCTGAGAGTCATTCTGTAGTTCTGTACGAAATCAGGGTTCAAGACCTGCAGAAGGTAGTGGATGCGCGGAGGAGTGTGGGGAGAGAGAGGGGGACGCTGCGCGGAGTCACGAATCGATGGTCTCCTTCGACCCCAGCTTCGGACAAAGGTCTCGAGTCAGAAGTAGATGGTTCGGCTTCGTTCCCCAAATTCTCCAAATTCTGCGAGGGCCGTGATGGTGATTGGTACGGCTGGAAGACGCCGTTGGGATGGAGGTGACGAGTCTGACTGGGTCAAGAGACCTTGTGGGACGGGTGCGCGCCTAACCGCCCATAAGCTTAAACAAGAACATGCAAGGGAACTTTGGAGTGGATGGAGGGCGAAGCTGTGAGAGAGTGTGGTCCGATACATTAGGATTCATGAGTTGTTGACTTACGAAAGGATCATAGTCTTGGATGGTGTTGTCAGAGCTCTCGAATCAACGAAGTTTGGTCCTTTCATTGCATGTTCCGGCAGTTTGTACAATGAAGGCGTGGATACTGCCCTGACTCCCGCATAGCTAGTTTCCGTGCACACGGAGAGCCCGGCTCGATAAATGAAGGCAACGCCATGACAGGTAGGTGAACCATGCCATCAGCCGCAGTCGAAAATTGCTGTCCAGGCCGTCCCTCTGAACGCCACCGACGGGGACACGGGTACTCTAATGAGATACCTTGAGCTTAGAAGTCCAATGTTCGCCTGCAAATAGGCATGAACAGACAACCCCTTCCGATCTAGTGCCTGTATGATGTAGATTAAGTGACAACCCATCGTCGGCCCTGCTCCGGCAGAACGTTATTGCGCTGCCCAATTCCTTCTATTAACCATGTCGCAGCTTTTGTAGGGCTATCTTGGACGTTCCCGGCGGTCCGACAGCCTTTTCGACCGAAAAGACCGTGCTTGCTGTAGAATCATACCTGACTGATAGCTGACAGTGATATAGATCCTCGGTTGGTGAGCCGGTGCGAGGATCGTCAGGACAGCCTATGGAATGGAATATGGAACAAGTTGCTAAGAGCGGTAGGTGACATTGGCTGAAACGATATCGCAAAGGCTTTCCTGTGATAAGTACAGGGGAGTTGTGGTATTGGTTTATGACTGGCCTTTCCTTCAGTCCGGGTGGCGGCAGTTGTGGGTGTAGTATGACCGTCGTTGCTTGGCGATACAGGTGTTCTCTGCTTCCAGTCTTCTTTCCCGTCACATCATGGCGGCCCTTGCCATGCTGTCAAGGTCGTGTCAGAGCCTCGGACCTTTCCAGACGGGTGCCGAGCAACTTGGACGAGGGGCTAAATAAGTTCGAGAAATTAGATGCGGGTTTGCCATCATGAGATTGGACGGCCGTAACCCGGAGCCGAGACCGGCGGCTCGAGAGAACCGCGTTTTGCTCCTTGCTAAGTTGTTCTTGAGCTCTGACGGGGCTCCTGTGTTACGTCTAGGACCCACGCGTGGCGGTCAAGACTCGAATGCAACAACGGCATAGAGATTGGTGATGGGGAAATGGCCCAAGGCGATCCGAATAAGGTAAAGAACATCCGAAGCTTAAATTTCAGGTCATCGCGTCGTTTCTCACCTCCGAGCGGTTTGGAACGCCCAAGTCTCGCCGCGCCAAGAGAGCAAACTTGCGTCAACGGCGTCAAAATAGAGAGGAAATGGTATCTCTGCTTGGCAACATACACTTTCCCCTTCAACAATCGTATCCACCAAGTTGTGGGTTGGGGTTTAGCTCAGCAGACGGGAGATGGATGCAGAGTCGAAGCTTCTCTCGGCAACATATCTGAGTCAATGTCTGATAATGGTGGATGGCCTCTTGTTGAACAGTGCTCTCTTTCCACTACACCTCATTTGAGAGGCGGCAGCTTGAGCATTCGGATGGCTAACCCTATTACTGATCCATACGTCGAGAGACACACTGCAGCCACGTGTGTCACAATTATTCTCTGCCGTGGTGCCGTGCTCACTCCAAACCGCCCGTCTCATGCGTTCGTGTTGAGGCTTGGAAGGCATGGACGTTGGCCCCCAATCTGGAGATTGCGGCCGTTGTTCTTGTTGCCTCGGTGCAGTAGTGCTGGAAACCGTCTCGCAAATTGAATGGCTGTTGGGTGTTGTGGCTGTATGCACACCATCGAACCCGGGCCTGGAACGAAGCGGCATGGGCAGCATGTATCGGGCTGTTCCCATAGGAGACCAGCGAACCCCAGTCAGGGCCTTTTGGATGCCGCGGTGCCCGGCCTGTGTCGGGCTCTTCAACTCTTACTCTTGGAGTCCCCCACCTGGCACCTTCGGCCGCTATTCGGCTCTGGAGAGCATGAGGGAACAAGGTCTCTGGATGTCATGTGTACAGGTGCGGGGCAAGCTGTGTGCACCAACGTATGAATGTGACTTGCCAATGTTCACTCCTAGGTCGTCAAGACTTACTCAACGAAGGTCTCGAGAAAGTGCCGGAGATGCCAGCCGGGGCTGGGTTCCGTTAGTTGCTCGCTGTAATTGCGACTTTGGGCGAGGCCCGTTGGAACGTGTCCACCTCTTTTGTGGGGGGATGCCTTTGTTGAAGTTTGAACAGTAGGCCAACTTGTCAATCAAGCTTGGGTTTATGGAGGCAGTCGTCGGTACGAATAGACTCTTTCAGCGTGGACGATGTCCTTCGTTCGAGATGGCCAATCTATGTGAAGGCAAAAGTGATGGTTTGACGCTGACGACAAGGTTGATACCATGACATGACTCTTGTATGATGCAGGATATCGAGCAGAAGCAAGGGAGGACGAGCAAGTTGTGGCTTTGCTTTACGCGTGGATGATGCTGTGGCGGATCTACGAGCAATCCGGGGAAAGTCCCTCGGGCCCAAGCCAGGGTGTCAGTGTCGAGCTCCAGGATACAGACGAAGACTCGCCGCGGATGGCTTGCACTGCTTCAATTCGGCACTGACCAACGTCAGTCGTCCGTGATCTGGTTCAAAGTATGCTCTGATTCGAGCGGTAGCCAGCATGTGTGGCCGTTCTCCATGTCGTCGAAAGGGGATCCACGGGAAAATGTGAACTTGAGTCAGCCCGTACTTAACGGTTTCTACATTTGGGGTTAGAGTTGTTGCAAGTACTTCCTAGCGACATCGAACGAACCATAGCGGGAACCCCATCCCCCGAAGAGTTGAGACGCACTTGGCATTGAGCGAGATGGATGGCATCAGCAGGAGGACAAAAGCAGAAAGCTTCTCCGCATCGATCGGCATGGTCTCCGCTCCCCTTCGACCGGAGGCTCTTGGTGGAATGTTCTCCAATTCTTCTCGACATTGTGATGTGATGGTTTGGGTGACGAAGGCAGTAGCGGAGGCGCAGACGTGCCTGTGCCTGTGCTATCCCCTCCAAGATCTCTGGTCCCGAGCCGCCCCCCCTTGCGGGAGAGAATGCTGGCGAGCCGGGATCATCGCCATGCATTGACCATATCTAGTTGCCATGTGGTGCGATCCTTTCGTGCAGACACGCAGACTGGCAAACTCGCTACCTGGCACCGAATATGTAGAGCCATGAGCCAAGATAGACGAGCGGATGGTTGATAAGAGGAAAGTTATTGGTCGAAGGTAGAGTGAGCAGACACAAGCTGCGCTCTCATGGCTGTGTCAGGTCGGATCGGAGGGCGGGTGAGATTCCACTTCTATGCGGGATGGGTGGCCAGAGCAGCAACTCGCCGTCCAGACCGACACAATGCATTCGCCCTTTTGTCATAAGGAAGGGATGAGACGGGCGTAGAGCTGTTCACTTGGTCCTAATCTGTGGCAAGCATCCGCAATGTTGTTACTATCGGGCGTTGATATGTTGCAGCGACAATGATGAGACGACGGTCCACCGTGGCCGGTTTCTTCACGGCGCTTCTCTACGGCTTTGGTACCCAGGATGCCAAGGCCCTGGAATCCATAGATGCAAGTGCCTATCGATGTTATCTCGCAAGGTAAGCGCAAGACGGGTTTGAACGTCCCAATCGAGGAGCTGCGAAGCTATCCTCGGCACGGCAAGAAGAACATTCATCCCAATTTTCTCAAGTCTAGGTCGATCTCTAAATGTCCTTCCTAATGTGCAACTGTCTGACAAGGCTCACCGCCCGTAGTAACGACGGAAGGTTCGCTCGTCATCGGTCAGTAATCAGCACGAGCCAGGGAGGAAGGCATAGTCTTGGAGCATCTCATGCTGTCCGATATGAGTGAGGGCCATGTTAGTGTGTCTTCGCGCGGAAAGAAGTGAGACATTCTGTTCGAGGACTCGTCTAATCTGCAGCAACGAAACAACTAGTCCGTCGACCCAGCTTGGTAACTGACAAGTAGACAAGACACCATCAGCAGAATGGACATACCTAGGCAGAGGCAACGTCCCAGGATAGCCAGTATCAAGTGTGGATTCTGTCGTACTTACTCCGTACAGACCATCTAAATCCGTATCCGTACTTACCTCGAGGCATGTCACCTGCCAACTGGGTCATCGTGGTCTAGCCGTTCTATTCACATACTACGGATACATCACCCTTGCATGCCATTGCTTTTCTTTTGCAGCTCTCCGAAGTTCGAACGGTAGCCCGCCTACGATGTGTCTCCGACCCGCGGCTTGCCTCGATTGAGGCAGTCTAGGCAAGGATCCTATTTCGTCTCATCTTTTTTTCACCTCGCAGGCCCCCCATGATCCATACCCCTTTTCAGCAGACATGCAGACAACAAATCATACCGCTTTTCTGAAGCTGGGGGCCAATCGCCACCAGCTCAGAAAAGGGAATCTTTACGAACGGGTAGCATGCATGGTCTGGGCAGTGTACATGTCTGTCGTACCGTAAGCGGTACTTCTTCACACCCAGCTTCGTCCGCGGCATAGAGTATGGAGTACCGTAGTCATGCTTAAACGGTGGAGGACCGGCACGATGTCAAATCGAACCTCTAGTGCCGCCTGGCAGGCTATGGCATCTTTCGGTATTTTGCCTTCTTTTTCTTTTTCCTGCTTCTTTCCTTGTTCCCATCGATCCGTTCGAGATCTGACACAGACATTACATGGGCATGTTTGGCGGACCGGCCCTTGATCTCGGTGAAAGAGCTGCCAAGCGAACGTCATCTCACGGGGCTGAAATGACACTTGTGGTTGATTTGCTCATGTACTGCATTATAAATGAGTTGTTAGTTAATCTGTCAAGTGTCAGTGTCAAACGTCAGAAGCAGCAGAGTCATGCCTGGGCTCGTGTGAAGCCATGTCGAAGATGAAGAAGAAATGACATGTTGCAGGCTCGACAAGGCTGCGCCAAGGACACCCCTACGGCTGGATTGATTAGATGGCCCGATCTTGGCGGTCCGGTGAGTGCCGGCTTGACCAACGGGGTCCGACACAGTGGTCTGGCACCAGGTGTGATTACCCAGGACAGGGGAGTCCATCACTTTCCCGTGTCCCTTTTCCGCCCGTGCGAGAGGGTTGTTGAATATCCGCTTTTTCGTATAACAAACTACAAAGCCAGGGCCTCACGGGGCGGTCTGCCGGGACTGGGTGCTTCTGTCCTTCAATGGACAAGGCAGAAGTGAAGCCGGTTGGCAACGGCAAGTCGGGGATCCGGGCTTTAGAAAGGCCCTGGCATTGGCAATGTTCACCCATCCAACATGTCGCCGATCTGATCTACATACCTACAGGCCTACAGGCTATCGGGACATGACGAGAATGCATTGCCAGGCACCTTGTTGCTTGAACGCTCATGTTCGTCTTAAGATACAGTGGCCGTCGATCCAAACAAGCCCCGTCTCAGCTTCTTGGAGAACGGTTGGCCTTGTCTTCCACTCGTCGTTTCTTTTGTAGATGTGATACCGTATCCGTCCGGTACTTGAAAAGGCACCGATAGATACCTGCTCCGGGGAAATGCATGCATGGGCCATGTATGTAATTTGGATCAAGTACCGGCCTCACCAGGTGCCGCCTGGGTCGATGAGACGCCCATTAACCGGGCTTTTACTGCGTCAGTGCATGGCTTTCGCACGTCCCCTTGGACTTTGGAAGGGGACGTGGTGGGCAGTGGTAGCAGTACAGGGGGGCTCTTGGGTCCCATTCCAACTGGGAAGGGTATCAGATGTTTGCGGAAGGTCGATAGCGAAGCTCATGACATTCTAGCTTAATAGGACCCAGATCAGACTTTTATATGGGTTGAAACTGGATTATGGTGGATTAAACCAAGACAATTCTAGCTGTCGTGATGAATGAGGCCGAGAACGCCCCCTGCCAGCGGCGAGTCTAGATGATCGAGGGCATGGTTGTCAAGAGTCCAAGACTGGAATCTGGCGCCCACGTGTTGATTAATTCGTGAGACGCCGCTGCCCACCGGGCATACCTACTCAGGACTGTGACGGAGGGTTACAGCTCTGATGGACAGAGGTTAGATTGCTCGGCTGCTACCCCAAGGCATGAGGGACAAAAAGGTTAATGAATGAGGTGTGGATAGATGTTTTCGAGAAACGACCCATCTTTACGAGTTTGTGGTGAGTTGCAGAGTCATGTCCTTATTGCACTTCGGGCGGAACGGGTGTTGCGTGCCTTAGGGTTTGTCGGCCGCGGTGGAGAGTTACTACGCGCTGTATGCCGTGTAAGGCAAGGCAAGGTGCTCTCAGTGACCAGACTCCTAGCTAGAGAGGCCAGCACCCGCTCTCATTCAAAAGTCTGGGACCAGGGCATGTTCATGATGCCATTGTTGAGGCCATGGAGAGAGTGAGAGCATTGGGCTCCGTACCGGTCAGCAAATATCGGGCAAATTCTGAATTGTTGTTAGTTAGTGTGATTGGCATACCTACGTCTGGATGAGGCCTATGGGGAATACTGTGTATGGCAGGACTGCGGAACCACCCAGAGTCCCTTGATCACCTCGGGTCTGTCCAGTTGCGGGAAAGGAGGGGTGACCTGGGGCTGACCAGTCCCGCCGAGGATGCGACTGTACAGGACAGGGACGGGTCGGGTTCTGCCCAAGTCAGTGTGTCGGTAACCTCTGGCGAGGGTCGCCGGGACTTTGCGTCCAACATGCATGGGCCAGTTGAGACTTGAAGTTGACATCAACGGACTGTGTAGGGTCACGAACCCATCTCCACCCTGCTGTCATATTCAATGCTCAAGGTCGATGAGGGCCTTGCTTCTCTTTACTACACCAGTCCCTAGTTCCTGTACGGGAACCGCCTCCATCATCTTTGGTACGTAGAAAGATTCGATCAGGGAAGCAGCTTGCGTAAAGCAACGAGTAGGCAATATCAACGCGGCTAGTTGGGTACAAGAGTGCTGCTCGGGCAGGTGCTGCGGCCAACCGCTGACTCGGGATTATCGAGCTTGTCGTTCACCATATATTAACTGCTCGAGCATGTCTGTGATCCGACTCTCATCTTGCATGATGCCAGCCGCTCTCTATTGTAAGGGGGTATGTACGTGGTGCGGCAGGCAACGGCCACGGCAACAAGACAGCGCAGTTTCAACCTCATTTATCAGTTTTCTGAGGGCCAAACCGCAAATGTGACGGACTGATTGACCCAGTTGCGGAAGATGTGTACGGTTACATTGCCGGTTCAAGGCCAATTTTTCCTTTATACCTCCACTCTGAAATCCGAGACGTCCTTCTCGAGGCACGCTGGCGTACAGCATCTTTTCAAACCCAGAGACAACACGGTCCACCATCGCCAAACTCGGTTGTTGCATCACAGATGCCATCTTACATCACTAGGTCCCGTGGTTCCTCCCATGTTCTGTTTTGCTTTTCTTTGGGCTTGGCATATGCCATGGCCGCAAACTTCCAAGTCGTCTTGACCTACGAATACAATCGTTCGTCTTGCTGCACCGAGGTGGTTCGGACGATTCACACCCACCACAGATAACGAACCGGAACTACCGGCTGTCTCTCGCTCTATTTCCTGTCCGGTAAACGAACGTTGCCGTGTTGTGCGGTAGAGCGGCTCCCTCTTTCATCTTGACTCTCAGGCGCACAATTCCATGACCGACTTTGACGACAACCAACCAAAGACAGAGTACATGTCCTGCCCTCAGGCACTTTCCGAATTGTCTGATTGTCTGACATCTGATCCCTACCGACAGAAAGCGGTATCCTGCTGTACGTCTCCCATCTGGGTCCATCTGAGCGAGGCGACCTGTCCATCTTGCATCCCCCTCCTCATTTTAGAGCGCGCTACAGCTGTGTGCTGCAGTGACGGCACGCGCTGCACCTGCTCACAAGCTCACTTCTTTTTCATCTCCAAAAAACCCCACACATCCCATCCAGCTCCAACCCTTGCCAGCCATCCATCGAGTACCATCCTCGTCTCCCATGCTCATCTTCCTCCCCCATCATGTATGTAGGCATGTAGGTATCCCCGGGTCGTGTGAGAGGAGAAGAAACAACGGCAGCGCCACAAAGCAGGTACATCACAGTTTGTTAGCCACGCGAGTCTGCAGCAGCCCGTCTCGAAGGGGGAGGTCGCTCGGGCGCCTCGCAGGTTCCTGTCCAATGTCCATAGTTCGTCTGGCCAGTCAGCGCTGACAGACTATCACGGATTATACAGACGAAGCAGAGCTAATCGGCGTGTGTTGTTGAAATTGATGTATCACGACACGGCACGGCATGATGAGACTTGTTTTATGTACAGAAAGAAGGTTGAAGGCAGCGGCGGCCTGCATCTGCCTTGTCCCTGTCCGGCTCTGGATTTTTTTTTTTGCCTTTCGCCACGAGTCGTTCATTAACTCTACCCAGGGTCTTTTGAAAATTGCTCTGGACATTCCTCTACATTTTCTCGCCTCGACTCATTGCGCACTCTCAACACTATCACGGCGGCTTTCTCTACCGTAACAACGCCGCCTGAATTCATTGTGTGATTCGGTATCGGGCCATGTACGCCGGACGTCGAAGAAGTCACCACACGACAGACGACGGGGGAGGGAGAAGATGAAGTATCATTAGACATCAATAGCTACCCATCGGCTGGGAAGACATCTGAGCAATTCTCACCATGTACTTCGCCTGTACGGATACACCGCACACCATAGAAGGCCTGGATGAAAGTACCGGGCCAGGTATTCCGGGATGGCCATTCGCAGTGCCGCTTTGCGAATTACAGAGCGGATACCCGTCTTTTGATGACTGGGTCTCTCGTCCGGGGCACAGCGAAGGAAAAGAAGGAAAACGAGACAAGGGACGGCGGGCGTCATCCCAGTCTGCCAGCACCAGCCCGGCTCCCCAGTCGCATCGAGGCCTTGGACAGAACAAGACAAGCCTCTGTGATCAAACCGCCCCTACCCCGGCCTCCACGCTACCGAAGCAGCAACCTGCATTGCCCCATCTTTCCCCAACATCGTGCCCCCCCTCTTCAGACTTGCTCCGAGTGCCTCCTCTTGCAGTCTCACTCCGTGGTGCCTCTAGGTAGTCTCTCCTCTCCCTCTGTGCCTCTCTCTCCGCGGCACCTTCATTCTTCCCTCGGTCCTTGCTTTGGGCCTACTTCTCCTCCTCTTCCCCAAGCTACTACCTGCCAACTGCCAACCTATCCGTACGGATACACTACGTATCCCTCTCCACACGCGCTCACACATCCACACTATACCTAAGGTGTTCTCTCTGCCAGACTTTGCGAGGTGATCCAAGCCCGGACAGCAGACATCCTCGAATCTCTCTAGAGCCCAGTGTCCACTGCTACCACCCCGGCTCGCCTTCTTCTCTTTTTTTCTGCCCCCTTCGTGCAACATCCCCTTCTCCTCTGCCTTGATTGGACTTGAGCTCCTTGTCAATCTCCTCCCCCTGGTTCTGTAACCGTTCCTTTTTGATCCCCTGCTGCTTGTGCTTGATGCATCCGAACTGTTTTCCACGCAAGAATAACGAGAGACGAACACACCCTAGTCGGCTGCACTAGCCACCTCCACATGTCTACTCCCTCCTAGACGACTGCTGGGGGGAAAGACAGTCATCATTTTACCTACTAGGCCCGGCCTGGCAACCTCTTTGCCTTTCTTTACTTCATAACTTCACCAGTCCCCGACCCTGTCCCGTTAGCTCGGCCTCTTGTCTGGTCTCTGTGCTTCTGCACTTCATCGTGAGCCTCTCAACTCAGCTCATTTGCTTCCCGACAGCCCAGCTAGACGACTGCCAGGCCCTTCTAAAGCCACCTCGATATGACCTGATCAACAACAGCTTTGCCCTCCAACCGGCCTACGCTAGCTATTCGGCTTGCTGAAAACAGCTGAATTTCATTCACCCCACATCTACCGGCGCCGCTCCGAACCATTCGACGACCATAGATTACTTTTTACAACTACCGGCCCAATCTTTTGGATGATGTCGATGTCTGTATACGAATCAATGAACGGACACCCCCCTCCCGGTATTCACCCTGTGGCCATGTCCCGTCCTCAAGTCGGTATTGAGCGCCTACCGACTCGGCGACTGAGCAATGAGCCTCGGGAGTCTATGAACTGCAAATCATGCCGCAAGCGCAAGGTGAGACAGCATGATGGCCTCTCAGCCTCGCCCAGAGCAAGGTCTTTCCCAAGACCATAGAGCCATTATCTAACTCAACATAACCAATAGATCAAGTGCAACCGGCTACGCCCATCCTGTGAGGCCTGTCAAGTTTTCCAGTGCCCTTGCGTATACGGTGAGCCAATCTTTTACATGCTTATAGATAAAAAGATGAAACTGGGGAAGGTTTTAGGAGGCTGATGTGTTTTACGCTTGCTTTTAGATGCCGTACCCAAAAAGCGTGGGCCAAAGACGGATGTGTTGGAAGCACTGTTGAAGAGGGTCGATGGGCTGGAGGCAAAATTAAAAGAGAAGAATGCTGGAGAGCAGACCCCGACCACGCCGACTACCGCCGGAATCAAGGATGAAGAAACCTCACGAGCAGACGACATTCCCGACGATGACCCAAATCCCAAGCGTATAGCATTGGACACCAAAGTAGACGTTGACGAGTCTGCCGTTTACTCGCCAGCCCCGGCAAGGTAGGCCATGATGCTTGAGCAGGAATTTCTGGTGAATAAATTGACTGACTTTGCCAGTGAGCCTTCGCCACCTACCGTCCAACCCGACGCGTTGCTAGACACCTACTTCTCGCGGTTTCACTCCAAGCCCTATCACATCTTAGACGAATCATCTGTCCGGCAACGACTTCAGCTAAACCAATTACCGAATTACTTAGTTCACGGGATCTACGCCGTTGCTGCAAGGTGGGTGTGAGCATCGCCAGCTCACTGAAGTTGCTGACCGGATCAATAGATACACACCACATCCTAGTGGATACCAGTCAGCTGTACATCTGAGTGAAGACTTCGCTTCGCGTGCCAGAGCAGAGATCGATACCGATGAGCCTTCGGTTGACGCGCTGCAGGCTCTACTCCTGCTGGTCATTGCCTTCACCGCAGCAGGGAAAGGCAAGAAGGCGTATATGCTGATGAGTAAGTTAAGGGAATTAGGTGCCACACTATATGTTGAAATGCTAACATGATGTCCAGCAAATGCAGTTGGAATGGCAATGGCTCTCGAAACTCATCGCGAGATGGACAATAATGCACGCGTAACGCCAGTCGAACGAGAAATGAGGAGGAGACTTTTCTGGACTTGTTACTTGCTCGATCGTTTCCTGGCTTGCGGCTCCAAGCGTCCATCTCTCATCGGCGACAAGACCATCCTTCTCCGGCTTCCGTGTTGGTCACCAAACCCTTCGGTACCCCCGATCGACGGCGAATTTTTTCAGTCTGGGTCCAATTTGCAGTTTCTTCAGGGAAGCGGGAAGAAGTCTCAAGGTAGCACGGGGATGCTCATCGACATCAGCCGGATTCTTGGTATAACAAATCGCTACCTGGCTGCTGGAGGTGTCAAGGGTGACTCTCATTTTCCGTGGCACTCACTTTCAAATCTGTCAAAGATTCGTCAAGATTTGGACATTTGGGCTTCCGGCACCGAAGACGTTTTCTCAAGCCTCGACACGCTATTCGGTCAACCCGATTCGACGATTCTGGTTCTAAGCAAGCTCATCTATCACCTCATTCACTGCCTCATCTACAGGCCGTTTCTCCCCATCGACCTCGCCGAGCTCGCAGGAACCGGTCAGCACCAATCTTGGCAAATCGAAGCAACAAACATGTGTTTTCTGCACGCGAACGCAATATCTGAACTTGTCGAACTTGGAAAGCAGACCGGCACAATCGAATGGCCGGCTTTCGTTGGCTATTGCATATGCACCGCTGGCACAGTTCACATCCACGGCGCTCACTACAACAAGAATGGCAATGGTGACTCGACTGTGTTCAGCATGTCAGCAGACTTTCTGTCCAGGGAGATGCAGCAACTGAGCGAGCTCCGATACGCTTGGGCAAGTGTCCAGCATCAAAGGGAAACACTGCAAGGAATTTACAATGCTCATTCCGAACTTGTCAAAAGCCTTGCAAACAATCCGATGCGATATTCTCCGGCATTCCACCTCGAGGACTTTTTCGATCGCTACTCCAATATTGGCGGGCCCGGCGGCCAGACCTTCAACTTTGACGCGGCAAATTTGAGCCTTTCTGATGTGATTGTCGACTTCACCACAGACACCTACACGGGTCACGATCTTTACGCGCCTCGTGCCAATAGCATAAACGAGCCTGAGCGACCGAGCCTCAAGCGCAAGAACACAGCCCCATCTGGACGGAAGCGTCCAGATGCCAAAGTCCTCTCACCGCTCAGCACGAGTCATATGGCGCGCCCTCATGGTCTGCCAACGCCTTCTCATGTCCGCCACTCCTTTTCACACCCAACCCCCACTATGGCATCTCATCCGTCACCGGGAATGCTGGCGACGCCCACATCTCTGCCTCCTCATCCCGAGACCATGGAGCACCCTCCAATGTCTGCCTCACACGGACAATACGACGAAACTGCGGCCAACAACGCGGCCGTGGCGGCAGCGGCGGCGGCAGGCTTTTCTCTCGGACCTCAGAGCCACCAGCAAGCCACCATGCCGTCGCTCTCTTCAAACTCCTTCTCTCCACAGTTCAGCTTTGCCACACCGGGGGCAAGTGGAAACAATGAGGTAGGGGGCAACTACAATGACCCCATGTTCGGTGGGCTGCCTACAAACGCATTTGGTAGTCCAGCCGCGTGGCATGGGGACGAAGGTGGAAACAAGGTATCCGGTGTCGCCGCGCCCAGTCCTGGAAACAAGAGCAACAACGGAAGCACTGGCACCGGCCCAGGTGAGGAGAAGGACCCATTCTTGAGCCTCCTGGAGCAACTTGCGGAGAATGAGCACCAATTCGCTCGGGGCCCAGGCAGTGAGCTTGACTTCTTTTTCGGTGGTACTGGAGCGTCGCACTAGGATTTTGTACGATTCAATGGTTTCATGTGGTTCCGACTTCTCAGTCAATGGCCGCGGTCATTCGTCCCGCACTACGATATCTCCTCATTTGAACGCGAATTTTCTTTTGGACATTGGGGTCAACATTCAGGGGCAAAGGTCATCATTTTAGAGATTTGGAAACAAAAAACAAAAGGCTCATGAGGATGGAAACGGCACTTCTGGGGGAGCTCTTGACGAAGGAATGATCTAGCATGCGTGGGAGTTTGGATCAGTTGTTTACTCGGGGGACGTGTAAGATGAATAATAGGCACGCAGAGTCCGATGCCTTTCTGGCTAAGAGTTTCTCTACTGAAAGAGAGAGTCTGCTGTTTCTAAGAGGAGGAGAGGGTTTGCCATTCTTGTTGGCAACTCAAAGGCCCTGTTGTGGCCCGCTTAGGCGTTTTGAGCCTTTTAGAGTTCGAGACTCGTCCAAGTATACGCTTATCAGAGCTTGTCACAAAACAATTCAAAGAAAATTTATCAAAATTATCACAACTTCCGACATGGACTATCCAACGTTTGACATCATTTATTTGCCGTACACCCTGAGGAATCAAATACCGACATGGCGCCGTTCTACGCCGTTTGAACGCATCGGTATGATCCGATCGGACACCTGAGTTCCCGAACCACCGTTACCGCAAGTATGGCACTATTCCCCGAGATATCCTTTCTACGGCATCTACGTTGCCAAGATTACGGATGTTGGTTCACGCATGGAGATGAACATCGCCAAGGGATTATGCGTGACTAGCTACCTTCGCTCACTTGAGAAGCAGTATCTACAGAAAGACATGCTGACTGTTGCTTGTATCTTGGCAGTTGTTCACTGCACAGGAAGCAACGGTCCTGTCCCTGATCTGAGAAACTAAGGCTTGGGATCTTGGGGCTAGTCCGGGGAAAGGGCTGTGCCGCGTGGTATAGATTCTAGTTGAGCCTCGGTCGCCAACACCGAGGTGCGTCGCTAACCCCATCCTTCCCAGTAAATGTGGCGCATGGCGGGGAAGAACGAAAAGGAATGAGGGGAAATTGAGGGGAAGGCGAGGAGGTGTGGTCTCGTGCCGTCAGTGCTAGGTGAGAGGATGTAGTCTTGTGTAACGGGTCAGATCGGCGAGAGCTTTCGATGGTTGTTGCCTTGTTGTAAACAAGCCACAGCCAAGCCCAAGCCAGCCTCGGTATTTGGCAGGCGGGACGGAACGTGTTTCGAGAGAAAGAAGGATGAATGGCACAGTCTGCGCCTTCATTTGCAGATCAGGGTTTCTTCTTTCCCTTTTTGCGTTGGGGAAGAAGAGGGTGTGTAGGGACGGTGCATGCGGCTCCGTGGTTACATGGCTCCTCGATTGAGTTGGATGGAAGGAAGGGGATGGCAGGGCAAATTGGCACAACGAATGAGACATAATTGGGGCCCTTCTGTGTGATTTTCTGTCTGTCTTTCTCTTCTGGTCACGGAGCACCGGGCCGTCGCATCTGAGGCCCTCGAAGTGGAAGGAAGGGAAGAAGCGACAGCGGCAGCGGCGGCGGCGGTGACGAGAGCGGAGAAGGGAAGGGGGGGGGATATAACACGGCTTTTTTATGGATGTTATGGGGTTTGGTAATGAGGTGGTATTGAGGTTGGGGTTAAGGACCACCCGGACGTGACCGGGAGTGCGGATACTCCGTACCTACATTCGAGAACGAGGTGGGATTGGCAGTGATCAGGGATCTGGGGCTTCTCAGGTGAGGTCAGCAAGAGGTGCCGTTGGGCCAGGCGAGGTAGTATTCGTGCTAAAGCGAGAACGAGGGGGAAAGCTGCAAGATAATAATGCGGGGAAGAGAAATAGAAGAAGAAACAATGGTTCCAAGACGGCTTCGTTCTCTGTTGGGTTTAGCGCTCGTGACTGGGATGTTTGTTCAGCTGAGAGGGTGAGGAGGCATTTGAAGGGTGCTTTGATATGATGATCGTCTTATAGAAGGATCGATAGGATGAAGTATCAAGGTCACAGGTGTGTTGCTTAGCGAGGGCCAGCCAGCGTACCGGAGAAATATACTACGTAGAATCGGAAGGGTGGAAAAGGACATCGCTGACGGCTGGTGGTCGTAGTGTGGTTGATGTTGGTTTTCCGTGGGTTGAGTAACCTTCGGAGGTTGGGCGGGAGGTATCACCCGCATGATCGGCAGCGCGCCTCTCGCATGATGGGTAAGGCGGCCCCTTTTACTGAGAAGGGCTTGAGGATGTTGGTTCCGGAGGTTGTTCATCCTTTGGAATGCCCGGGATTGAAGGTTGTACGACGTGATGCTACATTGTGGGGTTTGCGGGGGAAAGCTACAGTCGGAAGGGGAATAATATGGATTTGGGTGAGGTTGATTGGGATATTAGGTGGCGACGAGGTGTCTGTCGTGATGTGATAGCACTAATTGGTTGATAGTTCGTTGCTTGGTGTGGCAGATACTATAGTTGGTGACCGTACCTAGAGTGTTCTAGGCCCTGGTTGTAAGATTCCAGTAAATTGTCCGAGACTTGACAGCTTGACGTACTCTAGAGATCCTATAGAAGACTGCTTGAACGTTATGCCGCTGATACGCGATGTTAGAATGGCTCTCGTATCTCTGGTAAGGAGAGGAGGATTCATAGCCAATGGTCGTTCCTTGATTCGGTCCTATAGAAGAGAGAACCACGACCATATTGGAGAGTCAAGAGCCGTGGTTTCCCGGAAGAGGGAAATTTCGCCCTCTTCTGCATCTCTCAACTGAACAAGCTCCCAGAGTTGCTCAGTTGATGGAGGAGCATGGTCATATAAGTGAGAGTCTATTGACAACTCGACTTGAATACTTTCGTCGTGAATGAGGTTATATAAGGTAGTTTAGACAGGTAGTATAGATCGGTTGCGGGAGGCCCCTCTAGTTGCAAAGTCAACTGAAAGGTACTTGCTGCTTGATGAGTCACGCTGCGGTATCCCGTAATTTCAATCGTACTGTGAAGAGATGATTGTACCACTTTCCGCTAGGCTGCGTCTAGTATGCTGAAATTGCCGAAGTGACACTTGTACCATGGAGGCTTCCAGCTTTGCATTGACAAAACCGGGAGTGAGAATAGAAGTCAGACACTCAAGAGCAGAACTGAAGCGGTTTTAGACCCTATCACATTCCGGCGAATGTGATGTTAGCCAGTTGAGCTAGTTCGGTATGTCTTGATTGTACGACATCAAAGATTCCAGCAAGTGTTTCGGAGAGCAGCAACTTAGGTAGCACACACGACAAAGATACCTAAGCAACGTGAATAAGTCGACTGCCGCCTTGCGTTACATGTTGGAACGTTCGTTGACTCTTCTGCACTGCATCCAGATACCTGCCCGTATCTCATGTCTATCCACGCAACTCATCCACTGTCCTTGGAGAACGAAGAGCATAGTTCATCAGGAGGCAGAGCTTTGGAAAATTTGTGACGTACAGTGGTCACCAGCTACCGGTACGTCCACTCTCGCTATTGTATTCATCTTTCTGTTGGATTCATGGTCTGACTCCTACTGAGATCATGTCAAGCCTTAAACCATGACTTGATGGCCTACAAAATCTACCTCGACTCAGCAGCAAGGAAGCTGCCGCACTAAGCTTGCCTATCAAGAAGGCTCACACGGCGCGCGCCTCTCGAACATGGCGAGGAAGGCAAGAGCAGTCAGGTATGTCGCGGTTGAGGGCTTCCTGTGGTCAATATGGTCAAGGTCACATACTTACTTTCATGTACCTAACGATGAAGCCATTCCTACTTATAGAGACACGGGCGGTTTGCTTTAGCAATTGGATAATGAAGAATAGATGAGCTTCCGGGTAAGAGCACAAACCGAGTTGAAGTGGCACAGTGCGTTACCCCCTTGGCGTGGCTCGAGAGTCCAAGTATCCGAGGCCCAGCTTCAAGTGCACAACGATGAACAGCAAGTCCATCTTGAGCATTCATCGGGATATGAACAGCACAACGTTAGACCTCACTAGCTACAATATACTTATCCAAGAGAGACAATCTCACCAGAGCCTTATGAGGAGGCTGGACTGGCATTGCGGCTCTCGACCCGGTCTGGGTATGAGTAGCCGATGCCTCCCCTATTCGTGGCGAGGATGAGATTCATCAAGTTCTCTAGTGACGAAAGAAAGGTGCCAATCTCCTTGAGATCCACACTCAATTCTACGTGGCATTGGACCAGGTGAAGGGAGATATGAACACCTCTGACCAAGCTTGCTCCACATGAGAACTGTGATCAACCTCCTGTCCTCCAAAGATTAGCAGGACCTATGTGAGTCAGTCTCAAACTAAATAGAATCAGAAAAGACGGCGTGAATATACTGAATTTATCCACCATATCTGACATTCAGAACCTACAACCTCACGAAAGGCGTTCAACTCACACGTTCCCATTCCAAATAGTCCCACTCACATTGTCCAGCAAGCCCAGCCTCATTTTCTAAAAGCATTCCTGACGTCTTGGATGGCAAAGCTTTCGGCGAAATGAAACGTCACAACTTTTGCTAACTATTTAGGAAAATAAACTCTGTCATGTAATAAGTGATAACATCTCGGGACTGGAAGACTCTTTTGCTTGATATGCAAGACCGAGGAAGAATCGTCCAACATCATTTCGACTTAGATACGGTGACAGGCGACTGATGTACCACATCTTAAGCCTAACCACAGTCGAGAACTTCAACACAGTCCTGTTTACAGTCAATCACACGTAACCGAGAATGGCTATATCAGTGTCTCGGAAGCGGGAAACAGGAAGGTCTGCCATCATACAGGTAATGAGAAAGCGAGGGTATGCCAAACTGCTGCCAAGCAAATGTTAGATCCCAGCGTTACGATCCGCACCTTTTGATCAAGGCAACGGCAGACAGAGAGAAAGAGACTGGTAGTTCTTCCCCCTCGGCGTGCCCATATACATCATCCTCAGAATATGTACCTAGCACGAGCACACGAAGCTGAGATATCAAAAGTAGAGCCCCTTCGCCAAGTCGTCGTGAATACCTCCGCCCTGGTATCGCGGCCGGCAGTCTTGTAGAAGCCACGTGCCCGTATTCTCAGCTCACTGTAACCATTCCAAACGCCATCTCCCTCCCTTGACACGACGCGAACAGAGCACCAACCTGTTTGCGGCACGACTTTCCTATAGCAGAAACATTCGTCGCCGCCAACTCAGAAGACAAAAGGATCTTTGACTCGCAAGCTCAGGCAGGACAAGCTTCTGCCTATAGGCTGTTCCGATAAGTTAGCGGGCGATGCTGCCACAAGTTGACACTCCGTAGGTCGATAGTTACCGTAGGGCTGAAGCTGACTCTGGATGTGCCACTCTCTCAATCGAATAGTGTTCGCAGTCACATATAACACGCGTGCGAGCGAAACACGGTAGACAGAGGTCAAAACATCGAAGCTGACTCGACGATTCACGGGGGTTGACACCTCAGACTTGCCCATTGGGTGCTTGTAAGTTGCGGGTTGGCTCCCGAAACCTTGTTTGGTTGTATAGGGATGAATAGCCGCGATCACGAGTTAGATGAAGTCGGCTAGATGCAGTTGCGAAGCTCAGACTTGATGGCAGTAAAGCATGTGGCCGGGTAGTCTGAGAGCATATGAGGGACGTCCTGTCCAAGATAGGCTGGATATGTGATTGTGACGAGTCCGTCCTTATGGTGCCCACGAATGACTCCGCCCTATATGTGAGACGGAAGATCACGATCAACTTTGCTTGATATACACAGCAATAGCCTATTTTATTGTGGATGTGTAAGGTGTTAATCGTAATGTGCCATGCCGCCATGAGAAATAAGACACAATATTTGCCTGCGCTGTGCACATTCGTCATTCTCGGATTATTTTTGCCAAATTAAACAAAGATCGACTTTGGCACCGAGTGGAAACATGATTACATGGAGACTCCCAGGAAGCTTTAACGCATGGTAGACCGAATAAGTGCTGTATGCTGTTTTGGTGTCGAGGCAGACCGAGGCAGCGGGGCGGTTGAGCTGCTCAAAAGTTTCAGACAGTATCGTAGGTTGCGGGATGCAACTGCTGCAGAAACGTGCGCGTAGCATATGTTGTGTGGGTATGCTTGTAATCGTCGGGAACTCTCAATCGCCCCGTCAAAGGCTCTCTTGGTCCCATTGGGAAGTATGTTCGCCCTGCTCTAACCCGGCTAGTAGCTGCGAAACGGACATTGACCGTGAGTTCGTATGGCACAGACACTGAGCTGGTTGCCTGCCGGCGGTAGTGAGCGCACCGATTACGTTTCCTCCATGGGCAGCTGCCAGTTTTCTTGGCATCGGAAGTCCTTGGAGGGGTCAAACTCGTACGAGGTTGGGTGCTTCCACGGAGACTGACTCGTAGAGCCCGGAGAAAATGCTTGGCCTTCTCATCAGTCCAGTTTGTTGCAGTAACGGCGGTGCAAAGCAGCCAGTGGGCAACAATCAGCCAAAGAAAAAAAAAAAAGCTGTCCTGAAAGTCCCTCAGAGTCCCAGTTCGACTTTGCTCAAGGCCATCATCTTGAAACTTCTGGGTTGCAGTTGGTAGAAACTACGTGATGGGCTTTAGTTGACGATCCGATATCTGGTGCGGGCCGTGGCCACAACGGCATCAGGAGGTTATCGATGATTGCTTGCTGAGGCTCAACTTTTCAAGAGTCAAGACTGCTGCTGGCCCAGGGTAGGCTGATCGGGTAGACATTCCGCCGTGGAGTCTGGGATCGGGGGTTGTGCTCGGACGTGGGATTGATACAATGAGATCAAAAGAAGGTTCTTTCGCAACGGTTCGGATGACGTTGTTTCTCCATGGTGCGGGCATAATGTTGACGAGGTTCAGTTTCGAAAGAGGGCGATCTCTTGACTCGAGCCGGGGGGTTGGTAGGAAATTCTGGCTTCCCAGTAGCAATTCGTTCACGAATCAAGCATATGACTTAGCCACATGGTGAAGCTCTCAAATTTCACAGACAATAGTTGAGTGAGTACACGACACGTTTCCGTAGAAAATGATTGGATTGACTGTACAACGCAAGGGCCGTGATACTGCAGCAAGGTCAGCCGAGGTATGATTTAGAAGCTCGCAAGGTCTTTGGGCGCTGTCTGTTCTCTGGCACGGACGCCACCGTGAGCTTATTGCAGAGCCAAAGGTGCCAAAAGAAAGGACGGGGCGGGTTTATTGTCTAGTTTTGGTCAAAGGGTGATCCGGAAACGGAAGGATAGCGGCACTGATAGTGTAGACATCGTAGCCGTGGAGAGATGGAGATGTAGACAAACCGTTGCCGCGATTCGGGGAGGTCAGCTACTTGGTACAAGAGGATTGTTGCGTTGGCGGCTGGGCACCTCCATGGGGTGGTGCGAGAGGCAACGTCATGTGCCGCCGTTGAAGGCGCAGAACAAAGACGAGCAAGGTCGGACACTCTCATTGGAAGCTCAAATACCGATCGTGGCTGAAGGTGACATCGCATTCGATTGATTGCCTTGGCCGAGGTGTAGAGTGACGGGTTGTCGGTAACTTTATCGACACCACACGTCCCCTGCCAGATGCGATGTATGTCACGATGTAGTGTGTACGTCAATTGACGGTTCCGAAAGCGAGGAGGCAAAATGGCAAAAGTCCGTCTCACCAGACCAAGGTGCTAATGGAAGGAACGAATACACGTGAGAGACAGAGCCAAGTTGATACGGCAGGAACACCTGGAGTCAGGCGTGTGCCTGCCCAGAATGTCTGTTCGTTCCTCCGCAGTTTCCAGAAAACCGTCACCGCCACCAAGCGTCCCGTTCGTCTTTCCTTCCGTCCCAAACTGAAGTCGTTCTTTGTTCCTTCCAGCCATCTACTCCTTCCGCTAGGTAGGTAGGTGCCTTAATACTCCGTACGGTGCTTCAGATACGTCCAATTGTCACCAAAGTCACAAACGGGCGGCTGCAAGCGACCGTTTCTTACTGGCCCGCGATTTTCAGTTGTGTCGTGTCTGCGTCGCGCCTTTTCCTGCATTCTTGTGGCTCCTTGGCTCCCACTCATTCCTCCAGGCTTCACTTCAAGCTTCAGGCTTCACCTCCTCTTTTCCAATCCCTCCACCTGATCGACGAGGGGGTCCGTATTCGCTGCTTAGGCGAAGCAGATATTGGCAGGCCGCAGATCGGTTATCAATCAGCTTTGGCAAGCTTAAGGTCCAACGAGTCCCGCTCGTCCTTCAGTCCATTTATCGCGCCATGCTGGGGGCCACATTCGACTTCGGGTGCACTATGGAGTCAAGGAGCATGTCCACCGCACTTCGCAATCAGCCAAGCATCTGCCGCCACAGGCCACAGGCCACAGCATCTGGCAGTGAGCAGTTTGCTTTGCATTGAGCGCCTGGGCGACAAAAAGTCTTGGCACTCATCGGCCTTCGGGCATTGCTTCGGCGAAGGGTTTTCTTGGTCTTTAATTTTCTCACTTCCTTTCTCAATGTCCCGTCCTCTGATGCCGCAAATAGAAACACGGAACAAAGTGACGTTTCTCCACTCTACTAGGACGCCATCCACACCTGCGTGTTTTTTTCCCTTTCTCTCCGCGGAATACCTTGATATTGCACCACGATATCGCCGAGGCAGACAGAGAAGCCGACGAGACATATTATGGGCGGAACAGCATCGGCTCCCAGGCAGGGAAGGGGATTTCGGATGAGGAGGAGGGGTGAACTGTGGCAAAACCGTCGACTGATTTTAGGCTGGCATTCCCAATGAGCCGGATCCTGCTTTCCAGGACTCGACGACAAGACTTTCGACTCGCGCCCTCAATGGGCCAAAAGCGGGAGGCTTCCACTGCTTCGTACGGAGTCTCACAACGGAGGCCACTCAACACTGGAAGCCACTGAGGGGAAAGGGGGGAAGCTGCGAGTCGTCAACCGGTTTTGTGGGCAGTCATCCTTAGTAATTCTCTCGAGTGGATTGATCTTGTGGAGCGGATGACTGGTTTCTTTCGTTTTCAAGGTTGCCAATTCTCAAGGTCTCCCTGAGTCCCTCCCTTCCCTCTCGGCTCCGGGTACCATCACCTTGCGGCTTGCCTGACGGATGGGGTATTGGGTAAAGTATGTACTCCGTACCTACCATACTATGGAGTGCAGATGTTGCGATAACTTTTACAATTTACGTTCCAAGGTTTCTTACGGATAAGGTACGTTGCAAAGTAGAAACCCGCCTTTTCCCAAGCCACTTGCCGCCCAATGCTCACTCTTACCCTCTCACTCTCTTGAGGTGCTCTCTTTCCTTTTTCCCCCTCCTCGCAGCACATACAGTCCCTGCAACCTTTGGTATCCTTGCAGATGGATCATGGAGCAGAGCGATGGAGGAGGCTAAGAAGCTTTTCCTCGTCTCACAATCTCTCATCCTGGGTGTGCCTGGGTCTGGGTGGGAGGAATCCATTGAATCCTCGTCCAACTTGGCCCGAAAAGGTGAATCCGGGGTAAACCCGCCATGACCAAATGGCTGATTGGCTTGCAGGGCGCCGAGGATCGACGTTTCTATGTCATCGCCCACCGCCCATTATTGCGCCAGTCCGTACCGGCTACGGAGGGCCTAGGGTAGTGTCTACGCTACTGCAAGCCCGCCGCATTCCATTCTTTTGCCAAGTACCTACTTATCCTATGTACCAAACGTACTCCGTACGCCGTGGGTACTTTCTTCTCGCAACTCCAAGCACGCAGCTGCCAAGTATCGCCCGAGGTCTGCTTACCTGGCACTGAACGGACTGGCGCGAACCCAACGCTTCCTCCGTCTCTCCTCCTCTTCTGCCTCCCGCCCTCGCAAAAGGTTCGCAAAAGGAAAAAAAGAGAAAAGACCGGCTGAGTCTACGCAGTACTTCCAGACGTACGCAGTACGGAGTGACTGACAGGAGTCCCAAACTTCCAACACATCAATGCGCACCGCCGAACCTGCGGAAGCTCCACCGCCGCAACATACCGTTTGATTTTCCCGCCTCTTTCAACTTCCCTCACGTCGTCCATCGACCACCGACCCGACCCGATACGTACATTATTGCCTTTTGCCTATCAAACCATACCTGCTAGTACACACCACACAACGGGTAGTTTTAAACCTAATTCAAATCCAGACGGTCAGAGCCTACGGGAAGGTTGTCACCACCTCCTGTCCTCCACGTCTTGTCATCCAAGGTATCCCGCATCACCTCAGTCCAACCAGTCCAGTCAGTCAACCAGTGACCATTGTCAGTCACCGCCACGGTGGATTCTCGCGGTACTGGAGACTCCAAAGGGCCCACGACCAATCTCGCTCTACCACTCCCACGAGCTCAGCCCGCCACGACCGCCCTGCCTCTGGTCTCCATCAATCCGCATCGTCACCCACTCAGATGCTCCATTGTACCAAGGGACCCCATAGTACCTACCAAAGTATCTTTTCGCCAGAACTACGAATCTCCATCGCGGCTCGCCTTTGTCCCCGATCGGAAAACTCTGCAACGGCTGCCATAGGCGGTGGGAACGCAACCGCGACAACTGAAAGAGGACCACGAGTCCACCAGCCCACGCGACGGCCCCGTCAACGCAAACCATCCACAAGTTAACTGTCCAACCAGCCATTACCGAACCGACACCACACCTTAGACAAGCATTAGCCTGCAGAGGAGGCGCCCAGCATCACTTACGGTTTACCTCGCCTCGACGAAAGCTGTCGTTCTTTGCTCCAACTATCCCATCCCGTATTCTCGACTTTTCTATCTCGACTCTCTTTTCCTCCCCTTCTTCTCCCCCCCGCCACACATTCAGAGCTTCTCCTGCTGGCCCTGTCTGTCTGTCTGTGTCCCTCGCTTACGGCCAGCAACCCACGTTACGTTTGCCTTGCCGGCTGTCTTCGCCTACACTGCCGCTAACCTCGCCAACGGCTTGTATGACGCTGCGCCATCCTCGCCTGCCAATTACGCGCCGCGGCTTTGTCGGACATCACACACCACTCGAACTGCCGGTTACGAAGATATTCGCGCAAGCTTGCAGCTAGAAGGATTGGACGACTGCTACCCGACGCTCAAACTCACAACTTTCCTACTCCAGCCTTTTGCGTTCCGCCCGATTCATTAGGACTTGCACTCTGTACTGACGAATTCGCCCGACCCCGAATTTTTTCTCCAAAAACGCCTCGAATCCGCCAGAACAAAGCTTTAGAACCCCTCCGCTTTTCTGATCTCACCCCGCGAACAGTTGCACCACCACCGACCCTATCCATCCGAGGTTTTTCGATATCGAGCCGAATTGCGCGCCAACACCAACTCATTCGACTGCGTCCATGTGTCAGAGCCCAAAGTCATGGCATGGTTGTCATCGGTGTCTAGTTAACCACCCTACACCCCTTGCCAAACCTCCGTGGTGGTGAATCTCCCTCGCGCTCCCCAGGTTGGTCGCCACTTCTCGCCGAGCATGTCATCTGCCGATGCCGCAGATGATAGCGTCCCGGATCGCGGTCCGGCAGTCTTTGCCGTGACAGCCGCAACATTCGTCCTAGCGAGTGTCATGGTTGCTGCCCGTCTGTTCTGCCGGCGATGGATTGTCAGAAATGTCAGCTGGGACGACAAGATTATGTTCTTTGCCTGGATGATTGCCTTTGGATTGTCCTTCACCATTTGCTTTGGTACACGAAAAGGCTTGGGTCGCTACGACGACGATATACCCTCGGGCCACTGGAATTCTCTACGAGCGTGCGAATATGTTTTTTCAATACTCTATGTGAGTACTGCCGTTCTGCTGAGACACTGGCTTAGGTGCAATACTCACACAATTGCAGAATCCCGCCCTGATGGCGACCAAGACCAGTATTCTGATCTTCTACCTCCGCCTCTCCAAAAATACGAAAAAGGTGCTTCGGTTTGCATCTTGGGTGACTCTGGGCATTGTCAACCTAGCAGGGGCTGTATTAACCCTCATCAACATCTTCCAATGTCGGCCGGTTCAGGCCGCATGGGAAATATGGCGGGACACTTCACAATGCATCCCGCTGTTGACGGAATTCATCTGTTCTGCTCCCATCAACATCGTAACCGATTTAGCTATCCTAGCCTTGCCGATCCCCGTTCTCACGGGTATGCGATTGCCACCGAGGCAAAAGATTATTCTCGTACTCACCTTCACTATCGGTATCTTCGTCACTATTGTGGACGTCGTCCGAATCTACTACCTACAACAAGCCGTCAGCTCGGTCCCCACCGGCGGCGTGTCTAGCGATCCGAGTTCTCACTTTGGCGGCACACCCGACTTTGCTTGGAACTCGTCTTTGTCTTTTATGTGGTCTGCCGTAGAGGTTAACGTGGGAATGGCTTGCGCGTGTATCCCTACTCTCAAACCATTGATTATTAAGATTCTGCCTGCCATGATCATCGATCCGGATGGAACGAGATCGAGCACACAGACCGAAAAAGACGCCTTGGACAGCCCTAGAAATCGCACCGGCAGCGACGGCCTTGTATCACCGACAAGTCCGAATTACCGTGGCTCAGTCAACATCCAAGAGCCCCCCGTAACACATCGAGCCAGTCGAGATATGAGCGCAGCGGCGAACGCGGAGGTGAACGACATGACAGCACTTGAGTTCTTGACAACACCAGATATGACGTTGGCCGAATATGAGGCCACCGGGGCGGGCAGGGTCGGCGGCGCTGCCAACCGAGCCTCTATCGCAACGAGCAGAGAAAACACCATTTACTTTGGCTTCGTCAACATGAAACGCCCCAAGAGCATGGTCAAGTGTGACGCTCAAGAATCACTCCGATACTGCCTGGTGGTCACAATCCTATTTGTGATGTGGGGCATTTCCTACGGTCTGCTAAATACCCTCAACAACGTCATCTCCGGTGTGTCGGGCATGACCGTTGCTCAAACTCTAGGCCTCACATCCGCCTACTTTGGCGGTGGTTACTTCTTTGGTCCCTTATTGGTGGGAGAGTGGATTCTTAGGCGAGACGAACATCATCGAAGAAACCGCAAGAACAACAAACGCGACGCGGAGAGTGTTGGTGGCTTCAAGGTTACTTTCATTGTCGGGCTTTGCTTCTACGGTGTAGGAACCATCATTTTCTGGCCATCCGCTGTTACCAAGTCCTGGGGGGGTTTCCTACTCAGCAACTTCGTGGTCGGCTTTGGCTTGTCTGTCCTCGAGACAGGAGCCAACGCATTCTTGATTCTCTGCGGGCCGCCAGAGTACGGAGAGACACGACTACTTCTCGCTCAAGGTGTACAAGGCGTGGGCTCCGTTCTGAGCGGTCTTATGGCCCAAAGAGTATTCTTCACCAAGATCACCAACCAGGGTGGCTCAGACTCTGTGACGTTGTTGAACGTACAATGGACGTACCTCGCCATCACATTGCTTTGCGTCGCCCTAGGCCTCTTCTTCTACTACATGCCGCTCCCAGAGCTGAACGATAACGAGCTGCAAGAATCGGCAGACCGGCTTCCAGTCAATCCTCAGAAGCGTAGCATCGGCGGTTTGCAATTGCGCACATGGAGTTTGATCCTGGCAGTCCTCGGTCAGTGGACCTATGTCGCTTGCCAAGAAAGCAACAATATTTTCTTTCGCGCACTCACAATAGCCATCCTCCCGAATCAGGAAGACGGCGGTGTTGCGGCTACGAATGCCGACACAAACCCAGGCGAGAACAGTGACAAGCCTCCAGGGCTCACAATAGGTGTTACAGATTATCATCTGATTGCGCACAGTGTCTTCGCCATTTCGCGATTCATTGTTGCGTACCTCACATATCTTTCGGTGCGCAATCCGCGCATGCCGAAACCGAGAACGTGGCTGGCCATCAGCGTCGGTCTCTCCACCTTGTTCGCCCTTCTCACAGTCGTCTTGCAGCCGTCGGATCCGAACCTCCTCATGGTTGTCGTCATACTCTTCTACTTCGCCGAAGGACCTGTTTGGCCCCTGATCTTCGCTATCGGCCTTCGCGGTCAAGGCAGGCGTACTAAGCGTGCTGCCGCCTTCATCACCATGGGTGGCTCTGGCGCAGCATTCTTCCCATACATTGTCTACGCCGTCATCAACAGCGGCGTGTCAGTGCAACTTTCTTTCATCATCATCGTCGCCCTGTTTGTCCTTACGGGCTTCTACCCCATATGGCTTGCCTTTGTGCGCGACGCCAAGACGATGACAGACCCTGCACACTCCTACATATCCCCCGAGGAGCGTGTTTCCGGACAGGACGAAATCGACATCAATAGCCAAATCAGGAGGCGCAGGCGAACGCTTTCCACGATTGCAGCCAAGAGCAAGCGAGGCAGCATTTTCAGCAAGATATCTCCCTTTGGGAAGACCAATGGCGAGAGCGTTACGCCACCAGTAGTAGAGCATTCCGAAGAAAAGAATGGCTCTAGTAAAGGATCTGAGGGGAGCAACGATACCCATCAATCTCAGATAGTATGAGCGAGCGACATGTTTTGATTATTTGTGCGACAACAGGCCTACGGGCCTTTTATATTAATTGCTATATACCCAATGATAATGACGTTCAATGAATAAAAGTTATGATTAACATTCCACCCGCTCGTCTGTACGAACTTGCATATCGCCATTGTGAACGTCATGACATTGGAGGATGCTGTCCACAGCCGCACTCAATGTTTCTCAAGCCCAGCAGCTATCTTTTCAAAGACTTCTATTCCTTCCCTTCCTAATGCCGTCCCGACGGCAACAGCATACGCACCGACGCTCTTCATCCGCCTAAATCCATCAGCGTCCGAGACGCCACCGACACCAATGACCTTGATGTGCAACAACTCTGGCTCTCGCGCGACCAACTCTGCAATGGTCTTCACGTTCCCCAGCGCCAGCGGATGCAAAGGCGCCCCCGCCATCCCACCGAGTCCAGACCCCGGAAGTCGCGGGTTGTGGTCGCCGCCCTCGAGCAAGAGACACGAGCCGAGCGTGTTTACGGCGGTGATGAAGCTGACCTTGCAGGGCACCTTGAGCATAGCTTTCGGGGTGACGACGGTGGAGTCCTCGCGCAGCGCGGCGATCAGCTCGGCGTAGTGCGCCAGGTGTGTGTACGGCGGCGTCTTGAGGCCGATGGGGATGAGGGGGTCCCGGGGGAGTGCCGCGAGGTAGGCGAGCAGCTGGGCGCGGTCCGAGGCTGGCGGGGCGGCGGCGGCGATGTTGGGGCAGGAGAGGTTTATCTCCATTGCGAGCGGGTGGGTTGTTTTGGAGGAGAAGGAGGCTATGAGGGCGTAGGATTGTGCTATTTCTGAGGGGGTGCCTGTGACGGAGATGATGATGAGTTTGCGGTGGTGGTGACCATGGTGGCCGTGGCCTTCTGGAAGTTGGCTGATGAAGTCGAGGTAGGTTTGGAGGGGTAACGGGGAGTAGCCCAGGTTATTCAGGGACGCGACGTCCGCGGGGCCAAGCTGGGAACGGGGCGCTTCCGGGGCGGAGGAGTTTGGCGCCGCGGAGGGTTTTGCGGTGGAGGGGTCGAAGAAGGCGTATTGGTGGCTTGCGTCGTTGTGGGCGAAGCCTGCGAGGAGGGAGGTTCGTGTCGTGAGGGCGCCTGTGTGGGGGCACGCGTGGAGTTGGCGGAGGTCGTCG